TAATTATATACACCTGAGGATGGTTCTTTTAGGAACTGAAACATGTCGTGAAACATGAAAAATGATGGTCTAATGTAAATCTAATATTTCGATAAAAAACATCATTTAATATTTTAAATATTTTAAATGTTAATTATTGTAATATTTTAATATTTAATAAGAATTTATTGTGATTAGACGGACAAGATTTAATATATACTTATTATATCACAATATGACGCAACTTTACCATCTTATTAATCCACCAGTTAAATTTAAACCTAATGTTGGATTATAAAAGTATATTACTTAAATTTACAGTAAAAATATTAATAAAAGATCTGTAAAACTCGAAATGTTTACATAACCAAAGCAGGCTTTTATATTCTGACCTCAACACGTAAAATCAACGAGACAGGCAAGTGTTACATGATGTCTGTGAAAACTCTGCACGTGTGGTTAGGAAGCCTGTAACAAAACGTTCACTGGCTCCATACACATATGACCTTTTCGCCATACTGTCCGCATTATTTCCGGTCAGTTACTCTACAATAGAAACATAGTTCAGAAGAAAACAGGGAACGTGTGATAACCTAGATTCAGTTTCGGCATACAGCGATTATAACCAGTGTAAAATTCAAATAAAATTTCAAAGAGGAATTATTTCCTTCGTATCGTCATCCCTTACCAAATATTCTCCTTTATTTTATCAGCGTTTTGTCTTAATCTCCTTTTGGAGTATTTCCAAACGATTCCTAATGCCTATAATCCATTTATTCACAACGGTGCATACTGGAATCCATAAGAGTCCATGCCATTACTAACCGTTTCTCTGTGGCCTACTTTAATATTAACATTTCAAGTACGCCTCGTCTATCGTGTTGTCTGTTTGCTTCAAATTTTTTTCAACTACAATTTTATATTCTGTTATCATTAATTCATTCTGCGAAAGTCCTATTTCCTGAATTTATGATTGTAATAAAATTAGATGAAGATGTTTATGTATTTATTCTTGTCTCTTAATGAGTCATTCATGACTTCTAATTAATTCAAAGTACAAATGATAATTGTTTATATTGGGTTCGATTCCCGGCGGTGCCCGAATTTATAACTTGTGTTGGGCAAGGCCGTGGTCTAGGCAACACGGAGTTTTCCTCCGTGGCATCCCAACAATTACCCCATTCACACACAGAAGAAGGCAATGGCAAACCACTTCTGGATCATCTGCCAAAACGTATATGAACAGGTCCCAGTCCAAGAAAAGGATGGAAGGATCCTGTTCATAAAGTGTCGCCAACCTCCTGTAAAGAGACGGCGTGATAAAGAAGGAGAAATAGGATAAAGCGCGGACAGGGTGTGATGTTGACCACTCACCCTCATCTAGTACCGAGGTTGAGAATGAGTAGGAGCTAAACCTCCACTCCCCTGATCGCCGACATGAGGCGTAACAGGATAGCTTTACCTTTTTTATATCAAATGTCGCAGTTGTAATTGATGCTGCTTAAGTCCTTTACGCACAAGCGACTTGAGGTGGGTATATATTTTTTTGAACAGCGCGTAAGCCATCGTTTCTTTTATGATTCGTAGTAGCAATTATTGTCAAGCTGCACTTAACAAATAGGAGTTTGTTTGCCTAAAGTAATCAGATGGTCAGCCATGTATAAATTCGTAAGTTACTTTGTATTATCTCCAATCAGGGAATTTCCAGGTCATTCTCAAACAGAAATGTTTGATCCTGAAGATCGCTAAATTCCCTAAATTGTTTCTAGTTAGTCACTCCGAGATTTTATGAGGCTTTAATTTATTAAACAATAAAGATACTGAATGACATTAACAGCTAATCACCAACCAACGAGCTAAGCTACCAATAAACACTTACGTATTTTACAGACAGATATTCATACGTTTACGTTCTGTTGTTTGCAACAGGCAGCTTTTATAGTGACATTTAAACACTCAGCTCTTGTCTCAGAGAAAAATACAAAAATTATAAAAATACATTGGTTAAGACTATATAAGGAAATAAAAACTGTTTCCTCTCAGAATCGTTCGAAACTCAACACAGTGGGTAAAATCATGTTAATAGTACAATAAATCATTTGTAAGAATTGAAGAACGTGCAATAGACTACATGACTTCTGCCCGGATAATTCCTGGTACTGATTTTAACTTCCAGCTGAATGTGGTACAAAGTCTCTTTAACTATGTCTAAAAATTAAAAAATGCAACTTAATATTCGGCCTACACTACACAAGCAGCCATACTCCATTCCACATACAAAAAAAAATCATGCTTGAGCTACCGTAACTGGCCCCAAGTACTAAACATTTCTCCGCTAGATGACACCTATGTAACAAATCGGAAACGATTTCTCGAACGGCCGGTGAAGTTTTCAAAAAGCATGTTCACTGATTTTTGAATTATAAGAAATGTGAAATATTAGTTTCGTCACACATTCAAGTCTTTCTTTAACCTATTAGCGGTCTAATGATTTTATAGACTTTATGTAACAACGGTTAATCAGAAATTCTGATTAGGCTACACGACTTTATATTAAAAGATAAACAATACTCCATCTTAAGAATCTGATAATCTCTCAGCTGGTAAATAAATTCCCTGCATTTTACAAAACCCGCCATTGTTCTCTATCCTAAGGCAGATTAATCCAATTCACATAATATTTTCCTATGATCTGACATGATATTATCCACCCATCTACGTCTAGGTCTTCGGAGTGACCTCTTCCCTTCAGGGTTTACAAATAATATTTAGTACATATTTCTCATCTCCATCGTGCATGCTACATGCCTCGCCCACTACAGAATAATTCGAACAAACGCTAATATTTAATCTAATAATGTAATAATCAGAATATATGTCAGATTACAGAGTAAATAAAACATTAAAAATATATTTTTTTAAAGTTTCACGTAAAAAAACACTGTTCTTATAATATTACGAATAGAAGACCATTATCTTGGCATTTATAAACCACATAAAATATTAAACACGACGTCATAAATTGTATAATTTATATCTCAGTATCAAATTACGTTAGAAAAAGTTTTAATATTTATATTACAACTATCAACAGAAATTTCTCGTGTAGCAAAATCATGTGATGAGCATTACATACCATTGGCCATACAATTAGCTTCTAATTATTAATGACTTAATAATAGGAATGAATCATGACATACAGTGCCGACAGGAACAAATTACATATAAATTTAAACATCTGACATAAATTAATGTCTTGCCATTAACGTTCTAAATAAAATGCTTAATATTTACGTAATTCAAGGGAGACCATCTTTCGTGAAACTTAAAATGATGAATTCATAAGTACGTCTGTCAAAGCACCGAGTTCATTGGAACAAAAGAAAATTATTTAAGAAGCTATTCCGTGCTTTTTCCGGAGAATTTCTGGACCATATATGAATATTTCAGGCGTATAGTGGTCCTACATTCATACATTTACAATTATTTCGTGTGTGGTTAATTATTTTGTGTGTCAATCTCAAATCACGTGTTAGTTTATTTAATTATCTACAGTGGTAAATTTCCATGCTTTACACATACAAGGTACATTCACGTTAAAAATATCAGTATTTTACCTGCAATGTATCTTTTGGCTCCATAAATTTCTCAGAATAAACAGAGATTATTTCCTTAAACAGCATTAACCAATTGATTTTTTTTAAAGCTTGTGTCTTTACGTTAAGAACTGAAGTTTAAATGTTATTTAAACGGTTAATTTCAAGTTAACAGTTGATAAAAAAACAAGGTAGAAAGTTAGTAGCATTTATAATAAATTGTCATTTACAACCCAGCGGCTATCTAGTAGATAAGAAAGATAAAATGGCCCACCTTAAAATGTTAAGAATCAGATCACTAAACATATTTTGACTAAATTTTGTTTGGGTTCTCTAAACTCATTTTCCATTACAATTCTTGTACGTTCATTTTAACTCACACTTACAAATATCAACTATTAAATATTCGCTGTTTATTATGAGAATCATACGAAATTGATAAATAAAAAATTAAGATTCAGTGAGTGTTAAACTAGGTGGTATATGTAGTTACCACTAGGCTTTAAAATTGAAATAAACACAGGATTTTGCTTTAAGTTTTAGAAATCTATTGGATGACAGTACACACGTCAATTTGTATTAACTGCACGACGAGCTCGTGATACAGTGATACACAAATGTTAATTACAAGATTTCACATTTTTGACGTCAATGATGACGAATCATCATTTATATGCACTTATGACTGCATCGGATAGACCATGAAGCTGTCCTCTAGATGACACGAAAAATTAATGGAACTCAACACATTCTTCTTCATTATTATCGATATAATTTAAGGGATATTGGAATCTTGTGCATTGCTCAACATGACACAAATAACCAATTCAATTATACAGAGTGCTCCTTGGTCAAATACTAAAAATTTACAATTTTTCATAGTTCTACAGCGCAGTGAATCAAGAATGCTTTTAATCTGAGGTTTTCTTGATGCGAATAAAAAAATATATGGCTCCCGAAATTATAAAAACGCCTTAAAATTAACAAAACACAAACTATTTTTTTAATAAAATTTATGTTTACAATTTAATTTTTATAGTTTATATATTTATAACTAAAAATAATTCAGCATCTTTGCTTTCGGCTAACTTTACCATGGCTGCACACAAAAAATCTTCAAAGGTATATCATGTTATTTGACCCAACGTTAAGTGACGTGTGGATTTCTTTTTAAAATTCCCGTATCCCTACAACGTCTCATCTTCGCTTGTCAACACTTTTCCTAACGGCTAGAGTACCTTTATCCAACAGTGTACAGTATTTAACTTATCAAGGCGTTGAAATAAGTATTTTAAGTGAGTACAGACTCTAACCTCACTTATTTTAAAAACGCTTTTCTATGTACACCTCAGAAACTAGTGCATTCCTTTTGTTGTCTGCGTCTGCGCATAGCCAGACATTGCTGTAGTAGAAACCGGGTTTAAGTATGCGGAACGCGTAGTAGCTAGCGTGGTGAGGCGAGAGCCACCTGTACAGTTCGCTTTTGTAACCTTCAGTTGTTAACTTGCTGTGAAAGTGAGCAGATGGCTACGTTAGCCTCGATGCTGTGCGTTTAAGAAAGGCGTGCTTTGAGGAACACCACAGTGAATCTAGATTTAGAACACAACAATACTTGCAGACAATCATTAATATTGCAATACACATTGTTGACGGGGAGTTAATGTTTCCGTATGTTTATAACATGACAAAAACTTGAGAAACATGATAGATATGTCATCAGATATTCGGTAACGATATTATAAGGCGGAGAGAAACAGAATTCAAAATATAAAAGTTTTAACGTGTGTTGTGCAAGTGAATACGTAAAGATTTTTGAAAAAAAGTTTTGTAAAGACGATTTGTGAACATACTAACATATCTGTTACGCAATAATTCACACATATATAATGGAGAATGCAGGGAGAAAATACGCGGAACTCCTACATCTAAAACGGATACTAACTTTTGTTCTCGTCACAGCACTGATTCAGGTAAGTGAAGATTTTTAATTTACTTTCGCAACTTTCGGAAAATCCACGAATCCTTTACGAAAATGATTCAAACTCAAGAGTTTCCACGCCTCTCCTTCCCAATTAACACAATCCTATGACGTCGGAAGTACGGATACAAGTTATGACCATACTAAGACATCGTGATATTCAGATGCTTAATTTAATTAATTTGAATATTTTAACTTCCTGAGAAGCTAACAGTTACTCAGCGAGTCAAGAAATTCCTCACCATTTTTACAAGATGGCTTCTTGGTTCTCCTAAGCCAGTTGAATCCAATTCACAGCACGTGACGTATTTATTAAATATAAATTTTAATAATAATTCACTATCAATGCCTACTTATCCTAAGTCTTCCAACTAATTTTTTAAACACTTCTTCTCCCTACCATACGTGCTACGTGTCCAACCAATCTCCTCTTCCTTTCGTTTCGGAAGAAATATATTAAATTGGTCTTACAGAAATACTGTAGAATCGTAGATTAAGGACCAATTACGGATTCTTAAGAATATGGTAATGAACCTTCTAATTCCATAAAAATCGTGGTTTTTTTTTAACTGAGCGATTATCAGATTTAAAGACATTCTATCATTTAATTGGTTATTTGGTGAGTTATATATATACAGCTCATCTGTTATTATAACTGAGAATAAATGGACTGGATACTGAAAATCGAATTTTCGTTTCGAAGCCGCTGGAACTCATTAAAAAGATGGTGGACAAATTAAAATTATACTAAAACCAAGGTTTTTAAGATCTAGTCGTGGGACTTTAAGTGAAGTGATGCAACTGTTGGTAAAATCAAATATTCTTTTGATTTTTCTTTCGTGAAAGTTGTGTGAAATCCCAGCGTTATGTTAAAGGGGCCCTCAAACGGTCAAGGTATACACTGTCAATATTTATTAATACCCACACTGAGCCCCACACAATCAACATTCATTGTCAATAATTTCACTTTAGCTGTTCACTGGTAAAGTGAAGTTAACTTGTTATGACTTCCAAGCGATAAAGGCTTTTTGGCCTTGCTGTAAAAAATGCCTTTGAGGCGAAAGATGTGTGTAAAAGACTGGTTAGCCAGAAGGCGAGAGTTTTCACACACTAAATTTCTAAATGTGATAAAACTTTTCGAAAGAAAAAAATCTTTCAAAAATTTTAAAAAAAATCATAATTCCTGAGAAATCACGCACCTTTCATGGGAACTTGTTGTACCCTGTAAGGCTGATATGACAGCTTACACGATCGATATATTATTATTATTTATTTAGTGTTCTGTCTGACGACAGGTCCATATGAACAGGATCCTTCCATCCTTTTCTCGGACTGGGACCTGTTCATATACGTTCTTGGCAGATGATCCAGAAGTGGTTTGCCATTGCCTTCTTCTGTGTGTGAATGGAGTAATTGTTGGGATGCCACGGAGGAAAACTCCGTGTTGCCTAGACCACGGCCTTGCCCAACACAAGTTATAAATTCGGGCACCGCCGGGAATCGAACCCGAGATCGATATATATCGACGAGAAAATAAATATATCGATATCCATGAATCGAATTACGCTAATATTCCTCATTGCCAGTCTCTTCTTATTTTTTTTTCTCTTTATCAATATTAATGGCAAAAAAGGCCCCTTTAGTAGTATTTTTATTCCTAAGAGTGAATGAGGAAAACTAATATTTTTAGGTTTACAACATCGGACGAAGTAAAGATAATTTGAAAGCTAGTGGCTATATTACGTCACTATACCGAGAACGAAACATTTTTCTCCCATGTTTCAGAGATGTTGCCACATCACGTTTGCCTTACAAATTTTTAAGTGTTTACTCACTTTCAAGACAGCGATGTTGAAGATCGGCGTTGTCACATCCTAAGACGAACTCTATCAACAGAAGTCAATATCAACGAATCTGCTAACATATGACACGACATGGAAACGGGCTTCTTACAAATGAATATAAAAACCCACGAGAAGATCAACTTCATAACTTTCACCGATAGCTGTCACCTAGAATTGTACTTAAACGTACTTGGTTTGAATAATATTAAAGATACGTCTTCTCTTAATTAGGATTTTATATGGCGCGCTCTGAGAATGTTGAGTTAATTAAAATTCGTGATTAATTTTTAACTATACTCTGCATAACGTCTGTAATTAACGATGCGTCGTTAAATATTAGGTTTAGAATTTTTTTTTGCCATATCATAAAATGCAAACTCAAATATCAGAGACATTTTGGATCAGATGAGACACTTAAAAATAATTATCTATCTCACGCTAACTTATATTTGCAAATGAACAACTTAATTAAATTTCAAACTTAAATTGGATCAGCTGATGTCGAATAAATCTGATATCAAAAATAATTCAACGAGAACCTGATAGATAATAAATTTTCTTTTATTATATTATTATTTAGTGTTCTGTTTCTTATAAATTTAAAATAATTTCATTCACTTTTTTCGTCAATGACCACATTTCAGGGTACAGAATCGAACTTGTGAACTTTAGAAGACGGGACAGGATTGTTATACACTCGAACAGTGACGTGTTCAATTGCGCAACACGAGTCCTTAAATTCCATGGATAATTCGTTAATGTACATCCTGAAGAAACCAAAAAGACGTGAGTCATACGAACTACGTGGGTTTGAAGTGGATGCAACTCGTCCTTCAACTGCACTATTAAAACGATGCTCATTCAATGGAACTGTCAGTTAATGTCACCTCTCGCATCCATTGTATTTCTCACCTGACTGAAATCATAATAAGTTTCCTGTCAGGGTTTGTAAAACGCTGTAACATTCTTCCTTACGTAGCCAAACGCAAATACGAATAAAAATCAGTGACGTCATCGTATTAAATAAATGGAATAGCACAAATCCATACAAATACTTCATTCATACAAACAAAACTGTTTTCACTTTTAAAAAACACTTAGTGCCAAAAGCGTTTCGACCTCATGAGGTCATCTTCAGTGACAAAAACATTAATTCATTGGTCTGCCTATTAAATGATACAATTCATGACAGTGCTTTATAACATATCATCGTCTTATAAATTGTATGATTTTAATAGACTAAAAAATTAATGTTTTCGCCACTGATGATCACCTCACGAGGACGAAACGCATTTAGCACAAAGTGTTTTTCAGTGTAAACAGTTTTGTTTGTATGCATGATTTTGTATATTTTAGATAAACATTCAATACTGCACGGTATGCAAGGTTTTTAAGATTTAAAAAAAAATACTGACAAATTTTACAGCGGTTAAATTCGTCAACATGTTAAGAGAACGAGCTGTGACTGACAAAATTAGTGAACAAAATGGAAGTAATCTTCTAACACATTCCTGCAGGCTACACAAGAACAAATAATAACTTTCCAAACTTAATTACGTATTAATCTTACTATATATTTCTTAATTCTTCCCATAGAATATAAATTTCAGGCATTTTCGTTCATTTACGTCCACTAAATGCTTCGTGATGTTACTGATTAATGAGATGATAAAGTTGCGTCATATTGTGATAAATATATATTTGTTTAAATCTTGTCAGTCAAATCACAATAAAATTCCTATTAAATATTAAAATATTACCATAATTAACATTTAAATATTTAAAATATATTAAATGATACTCTCTAAAGAAATGTTCGATTTACATTAGAATATCACTTTTTACACGACATGTTTCAGTTCTAAAAGAACCATCTTCAGGTGTATAAAATTATATAAACTTAAATATAATTTCTTAAATGCAACTTTTTAAACAAATAGTTACTGATTAAATTAAAATTACGTAGCCAAAACCACATCCAGATCGTATATTTAAGGTAAACCTATTGAAAATCATAAGAGAAATATATCATTAAAAACAAATGACATCGATGTTAGCGCTACAGACATACGAATATGAAATCATGGCTTTTATTAAGATCAACAGCGAAAGTAGAACACAGATTTTTCATTAACAGACCTTGACAACTAATTCTGTTTTCGTTAAAAGCGAGAGACGTTTCGTACTTAATTAACTTTAAACACCTCTTTAAGTTTAATGGTTTACTGGTTCAGAGAAATCCTTATGAAAGTGTTCGTTGTCACGACGTGTCACAGAATTACACTCGGTTAATTTCTCCATGGCTATGAAGACGTGTCTGTCTTCTGAGTTGTTATCGACGTTTCAGAGGTTTTTACTGCCTCCATCATCAGGGCGATGATTGAGAGAGCAAAATATCTCTGAAACGTCGGAAAAATTCCACCAAACTTCATGACGCAACAACCCAAAATACATCTATTGTCTTGTTACCGACGTTTCAGAGGTTTTTACTGCCTCCATCATCAGGACGATGATTGAGAGAGCAAAATATCTCTGAAACGTCGGAAAAATTCCACCAACCTTCATGACGCAACAACCCAAAAGACACCTATTGTCTTTTACCTGTTATGTGTAAAGGAGTGAAACATATCGATACAAAATACGATAAATTTCACAGTATCAGCAAATATTTAGACTATATACTATAATTTAACACCACATGCAAAGTTACGTCATCATCATTATTTCAGATATGATATCAGTATCATATAATGACGTTACAGTAAAGAAATGTAGTTTAAATATGGGTGAATTGTATCAAACATAACCTCAACACCCATATCCAATCTGTAACTTCAACTCTTTTACGTATATTTAATAAAATACGAATTAAATAATTCATGGCTGTATGGATTGTGATACGTCTTTAAAACATTAGATTTTCATTAGTCATAAATGATCAATGCCGATGAGATTTGAAAAAAAATACGAAGAACGTGTCTTAGAAAAATACTCCGCTGTCGAAAACCTTTCTACTCTCGGGTACGTTCGGAATTTCACCGAAGCGATCTCTCTTCTGTTGTATCCTTATTTTCCGCAACGCCTGGTGACTACATCGCTCTGATTATCACCCAAAGCCTTAACCATTTCTAATGCTTCTACGACAATT